CTCTTGACACGAACCTCTGGGATTTGAGATAAGGCATCAGGCAGGAACCGGGATGCTGCCGTTCAAGCAAGATCCGAGGTGATTGTAGACTGGGTCGCAACAATTGCCAATCTGGGCACTGCTGATACAGTAACCTTGGCGAGAACAGTGAGGATCCGGCTGATGTTGGTGCACGACATCATGCAATAATTTGCCCCTTTCTTGGAGCAAGCCTCTCGCGACTCTGCAGGACTGGACGCATTCTGCGCATGTTGCGGCTTGCTCGACTGCTCCGTGTTGTCAAGCTGCTTCTCGGCCAGAATCATTTCGAGTGTGTCGGGCCCTGTAGATCATTCCCTTTCTGAGGAAGCGGCTCTTCGACGATATGAGGCGGCGGTTGGCAGGGGAAGTTGATGCTTGGCTATCTATTGGCTGAGACAATGCTGCCCTCAAGCCGTCGCTCAACATTCAGCGACAAGGTGGTGTTTGTGATCAACGTCGGTCAACTCTTCGTGTCGACCATGTTGCTCACCCACGTCCTGGCATGCGTCACATGGCATACTTTATGCTGGTCAGTCTTCTACCAGTTTTTCGGTATACAGTCACAGAAGACAGAAGACCAAAGCGGACCCCCTCCCTCCGGCTCCACAACTTCGCTGCTTGGCAGGTCTGGTATTGGCTGGGCAGCGAGGCCTGTGCTGGGCAGTGCCACGCGAACTTAGCAAACGTGGCACGTTTGCAGAGCCTTCCCTGCCAGGAAGAGGGGTGGGTCTACACCGAAGGATTGAATGGCCAGGATCTAGGACCCGGGTTTGTGTTTTGCGATCCAACTCAACACGCTCAATCCTCTTATCCAAAAAATATGCGACTGGGTTTGTCCGAGCAAAGAATGCATGAAAGCGCGTTTGGACCTCACCTGAATAGCATGTGCTTGCAAGCAGGTCAGGAGTCCAGTAAGCAAGGCAGTTAAATCAGAGTCCAGGACGCGGTAGGAAACTGCGCAAGAGGATTTGCAGCTTTTCATGCAGTGTCGAACTGAGAAGATATTGACGAGCTTGAGATGATGCTCTGCTTAAACGCAATTGGTGCTCCAGCCTCTGCTGTACCTGCTTCTGCAGTGGCACTGCGGGCTTCGAGGAACCACATACATCCAGAGCATGCAGTGGTCTCTATCGAGGCCTCAAGTATTTGTCCAGATTCCTTGGGCCAAGTGCGGTTTTGGGCCAATGCTCGGGAGTAGGGCCGCGTGAGCAGGTTACATCCCATTTCGCTCCGTGACAACATGCACCTCGGATTTGTGCAACCTTCAAAAAGTAGTCCTCGGCTTGCATCGGAGACCTTTTGGGCAGCTTTTGGGCAGCATTTCAAAGGGCAGTCCACAGATCTGTGATAATCCCAGGAAGCTACGATTGCCGCAAGAGCGCATGTTTTCCCTCGTTGCCAGCTTCGGATCATTGCTTTTCTCATCTATCTTCATCAGCACCTGGGCAGAAAAACGTAGAGGTCTGGGTGTGTCGCAATTCTAAGTCAAGATGCAGGAGATGATGCGTGATAAGTTGAGTTGCTAAAGCTCACAGAGCTTCTGAGGTTACGTAACAAACACGATGGCAAAGTTGGCGCGCATGTGGAGACCTGGTTGGATTCTGTCACATGTTGACGTTCCTGTGCAGTTCCTGTGCCGCCTGCTTGCAAGACTTGCAAGACAGATGCCGCGCATCACAAGGAAGGAGCGCAGCCGAAAGCTCGGTGCGATTGGAGCCTTGGCTGTGATGCGAGCATATGCGAGCTTTGGCACATGCGTAGGAGTGAACCATGGGCAGACGATCCCTGCCCCTCTGCTTCTCCCCCGGCCTCCTCTGCCTTTCAAATGATTGTTTTTTCCGTTTTGTGCTCGGAGTGGTACCTTGCGGCAATGTGGCGGCAAGGCGAATATGCGGCCACACATCGCATCAATTCAGCTCTCACTGTCCGCCTGAAGAAGTACGTTGATGCCTGGCTGGCTCAGCCTCGGCTAATCTTTACTTGCTTTTCGACGTTAACGCACAAGCTGCAATCGATTGCATGGCTTTGCTCGCACCACCCTCTTGCTGTTTTTCCCATGTTCATGCTGATCGAGCTAGCACATATTGACTAACACATGCTAGAGCCCTGAGTAGTACGCAGCAAATCACTTCACCACGCCTTCGGAGTCGGTCACGCGAGTTCACATGTTTACTTCTGCTTCCCGGATTCCGAATATCTGCAACCAAGGAGCGGGAAGAGGAGCTGAGCAGAGTCCACAAACTTCCTAAATCCCAAGTCTTGCAGACGGTTTTTGCTCCCATTTCGGTTCTCGGCAGCGTCCCGTCTTCCCTTTCACAGATGCCGTAGCATGCTGGTTCAAGCGCGTGACTCCTAGGTTGGAGGTAATCTGTAGCCGTCAGGTGTTGCCGTGACTGCACAAGGGTGATGTGAAAGCCCGCATTGTTCCGTGCAAGGCTAAGGCCGCCGGTCCCTACTTCCAGAAGGAGATCTTAGCGATTAAGTGAAACCTTGATACAGACACCAACGGAGAATCAGGTAATGGATTCCCCGTCTCAAGGATTGAAAGCACAAGAAATGTCAGATGGAGCAGATGCTGAAGTACAGGAGCAGCATGGAGCAGCCCAGCAACCAGCTACTCCTCAAGGTAGCCATTTGGGTCACTTGCGGCCGCCGAGCAGTAGAACCATATCCTTGCCGACACCATGAATAGGCACAGGTAATTAAAGATCGTAAGGAGACCTGGATGTCTGAAGTAGAGAAGCATGATGAGTTGACTATGAAAAATTGTCTTGGGTGAAGCTCAGCGAACAGCCTCCTCACAGAGTACTTGCCAAGTGTTCCGGATCTCGTTGACAGGGCGAATGCAGCCTGAAACAAAGCAGCCATACGGAGGGGTTTTGACGGGCTTTGAGATCACTGAAGAGGCTTCTCGCCAGGCTACTGTCCCTGATCCTTACCCCTCAAGTGTGAACGCAGGAAATGCTAGGATCATGGTTCCTAGTCGGTGCCGTCGGTGACGAATCAGACTCGGAACACATGTTACAGGAACCATGCTGAGCACTCGTTGGTCGGGCTGGTGGAGAGCACAAACATCTTTCAGTGTCAGGTGCCTTTGGGGGGGCATTCGGAACATGTACAGTCAATGGACAACGTGAGTCCATGGACCAAATCTGATCGGGGGCACGCCCTGAGTAAACCAAGTTCCAGCAAAGCTGAGAACGTTGCAGCACAAGCTCCGATTGGCTGATCTTTCAGGCGTAGCTGGCTACGTGTACAACATCAAGGGAAGTCCACCCTTTGACAGAATCTGAAGCCACGTGAGACAAGAAGTCATCTGACTGCGTTCTTGCAATCATTGAAATCTGCATTTGCTTGAGAGCGGTGCCTGAGAAAAGTCTAGACCATATGCTCAATATGCTCAGTCAGAGCGCCATGTTCAAACTGAGCACGGCCTGAGCTGGTTTTTCAATTTTATGGTTGAGCGCGGAGATGGATGAAGATCGGAGATTCTCCTGGCAAGGCTTTGAATTGCTACTTGTAGGTCTTCGGCTATGGACTGAGAAGAAAAGTCACTGTCAGATCCTTGCAGATGCTGCGGGGACAGCTGTCAGCTTGAGCTCAAGCCAGGGTGTGGATCCCCTTGATGCACCCAGTGCAGGAGCGCGTGAAGTGGAAGGCAAACTTGGAGGCGGGCAGAGAGAGAGGGCACTACGCCCCAGAAATATGGGACTTGATGTCTGTGTCAGGTCTTGGAGGCAGCTTTGCCAGCTGAGCTCCTCCGAGTTTTGTATCTCGGAAGGGAACCATAGTGGATATATTGGGAAGCGACGCGGTGGGTTCATGCAGTTGGCGGAATGTCGACGGTCTGGCAAATTTGGCTTTTGGCTTGTCCAAGAGTCCATGTCGTAAGCTTTCGCAGGTACAACGCAGCAAGGACAGCTTCTTGAGTCATGTGAGGTTTCGCCTCAGAATCAAGAGTGTGAAGTATGGCAAGACTTTGACAGTTTGTTGTCTACTTGTTCATGCGTGTCGTGCCTTCAAGATTTGCAGGACGCCTACTTTGGTGAATCACAGCCTCTTTTCGAAGATCAAGACGTCCTCAGCTCATACCATGATGGAGCTGTGTGCCATGGCTGCATGCGTGCTTTTCACTGCATTTTCTTGTAGCATTTGCACAGCATTGGCGGCGCCACAGCAGAGAACCTACTCTTCAAATGTGCGCTGCCGATGCAGGAGATTCCGTGAGTCAAGCTGCAACAACTTTTTTGTAGTGCGCCAGCCATTCCCAGAAGTGTGACAGCTACTGCAGAAGCGAAAGCCAACTTGACCGAATGCCCAAATTCCTGCAAGTTTAGCGTTCTGCAAAATGATTGGCGACCGACAGCATATCGTTTTTCAGTCTTGAAGCTTTTTTATCCTTCATCCACTCTGGCATGCGCATATGAAAAGACTGGAACAGCAGGCCTCTGACCAAAGGGCAGGTGGGAGAGCTCTGACAAAAACACGGGCTTCCTTCCAAGCATTGATTGCTTTTGCAAGGTTACAATGCTGTGCACGAGCACCTGGGCAGCAAGTGCAGAATCAAGTTGGTCTGTGTTGCGATGCGTAGATACGCAGTCTGGTTTGTGAAACAACCATGGACATTCTGCTTGATCCATTAGGCAGCACATTCTTGCGGGCGATACGATCTTCGAAGCAGGAGGGGTGACTGCCAGCATCTTGGCAGCGAAGACACCCAGGCACTTCTGAATTGACCGGCACACAGAGCCGACCTTGCTGAGCTGAAGTGCAGGATCATTCTCATCTGTCGAATGCAAACACCGAGAATTATGCAAGAACGGAGTTGGAATGTCAATCTCGTTTTGGAACGGTACCGTCAGGATCCCATTTGAGGTTCGTTATTATAGGAACTAGGATGTCTGCCAGCGGATCCATGTTTGTGTGTGACTGCAATCTCAGGCATGTACATGTGTGACTCCGGGAAGCTGCGCTATTCTATGGACCCTGAGATTGCCGCAGGAGAGCAGAGTTGCTGTAGGGCAGGGTGCTTGGGCTATGAAACTTTGCTGGACAACCATGCTGGCAGCTGTGGATGCAAGAAGCAGAGATCAGATACACACTAGTCGGGCGTCTGCCAGTTTCGCGCTTGACTGCAAATGCTGCAGGGCGCGACTCCATCAACAACATCCCGCTGAGTGACCGGATTTGCGCCTCAATTGCGCAGTAACAGCGTAACGAGATTCAACATGCACACCACAAAGCCGATGTGAGTGATTGGTATTGTCGAACGCTTGGGTTTGCTTCGACTCTTTGGAGGACTTTTCGGACCATTTGCTCAACCATCTGGTGGGGGGTGGGTGGGTAATTATCTGGAATGCTTGATATAGCAGGGACCTGGATTTGTTGCATTCGTGCGGCTTGTTGTGAAGCTTGTCATGCCATTGATTCTTCTGGAGGGATAAGATTCTGGAATTGCGGTAAAAGGGCCGGGGCTAACTATGAGTAATCATAGAAGAAACTTGGACTTCACGTTATGGAAGTTGGAAACGATAGAAAATCAATAAGGGAACGTGACTGAGACGTGGGGGTTGCCTGGATGTCCTACGCTTCAACTGCTGTGTTCAAGGCCTTGTGCTCAGTAATGTAAACACAAGAGTCCAAATGCAATCCAGCTGGAAACCAGGGTTTCCTTGATTTCATACTCCTCTCTTGCCAAAATGAACACAAACTATAGAAACAATCTAGAATGGTCTGTCTGGAATTAGGGACCTCCATCCTTTCCAGAACATACAGTGACTGGTTTCATAGAATTTTCAAAGGGTTTCATACAAGCTCATAACACATCACTTGGGGGAAAGTTGGGATGCGTTTCGTCATCAGGGGAAGCAATGACAGTTGTGGAGCCACCGGTAGGATTGTTGGATTACCAACCATGGAAGGCCCGGTCAAATATTTCAAGACCGGGACGGATCAAATTTTGCAACTGCGTTTGAAGGGGCACTACCTCACTTCTAAAAGTGCTCCAGAAGTGCTCCATATTAAAGGAAATTAGACCGGCCTCCATCCAATCAATGTGCTCGTAAGAATGCATGATTTTTGGGACTGGAAATCGTTCATTGGCCAGGGGGACGTGAGGCAGTCGTTTCGGCAACGATTGCCAGTAGAGGAAGGTCGGCGTTGCTGCAAATCTCGACAGTACACGGAATTCTAGCCTTCATCTGGCTCTCAAGCCTAGGATGCGCCTTCAGGCACTTTGTGTCAGACTTCTGCTTGCCTCACCCTTGATGGGCCTTACCCAAGCCTAAGAAGAAACTTTGGCGGTAGCAGGGCAAATCTCATGTTGTTTGTCCGCCCATCACATTCTAAAGCGAAGCGCATTTCCAAATTCAGCTGCCCCGTGCTGAGGTTGCTGCCCATTCGGATCTAATCAGGTCATGCCACATGATGGCATGAACAAGAACTGGGAGTCTTGGCAGAGATAACAGCGCAAAGTTAAGGCTTCTTTTTGCTGTCTCTGGGTTTGATCATTTGCTGCGATCAGCCCCGCAAGCTTCGCCTTGGCAGCCACGGAAAGATAAGGACTCTTCTTTGGAGCTTACCTGGGGCTCGTGGATCAGTGAACATGGCCTGTGGCACCTCGACTTTGCTTTTGACTGGGATGAATTGGGATGATTGGGATGGGACATGCGAGCAGCTGCGAGCAGCCTGAGGACTTCGGCATGGCAGCACACAGGGAACTTGTCGGGGACGACAGCAACTTGGCAAAGCATTCAGGGACAGCTCGATGATGTGCTTTGAAGCTTGGGTATCAGACTTGGAAGCCGCAGAAAGGGCTTCCAACTTCGGAAACACGTATTTATGCGTGCGGAATGTATGGACGTGACAGTGACAGGATTCTTCTTGAGTCGATATGGCATGATGTGGTAAACGCAGACTTGCCAGTCTGTGCGCAGGACTCGCAGATTTTTGTGATCAAAGGGGAAGACTTTGGGCGCGTGGTGCAGCAGGAGCTGGGCAGATACATGGATTGGTTCCTTCACAGCTTGGGAAGAAGCCCAAGACAGAACTGGCAGCAAAATCGGCATGTCAAAAGCTGGAAGCCAGAGACGCATTGTTGACAAGGACCTACCTATATTCTGCGATGTTGTTTCTCAGATGCACCATATCATGCCCGAGCAGTGAAGCCCTTGTCCCCTTTTAGAGCAGGTTTTTCGTGGACCTGCCGATTAGTACGCTGGTAACCACCGCAACTGAGCCCTTGTCACGGAGATGTCAAGCCACGGGAACGACATTGATTTGGCGAGCTTTTGTTCTTGACACGCTTTCTGCAACTTGTCGAAGCCTAGTGAATTGAAATTAATTTCCGGCCTTTGGGCTTGCATATGAACCGAACCGTTGCGTGGAAGCCCGTGCAAGTGGAAGGTTTGCTCAAGGGGAAGCGCCGTGCAAGGGCAATTCCGGCTTTCCAGCTCCATTTGCGGAAGCAGAATTTAACATTTTTGCATTGGAACCCGTTGTGGAAGGCTCATGTGCAGCAGGTACTTGCGGAAGGGCTTACTGAGATCTCAAGCTCGGGATCTATGTTGAACCTGCTCAGTCTGCAGCGTGCTTAAGGTCATCTATGCGCGGTACTTCGTGCACGAGATGAACCAGACAGCGATCAACACAGACACCTGGCCATGCGTTCCAGCAGGGCTCTCTGAACGACAGTCGCATTGGGTTTATGTAGCTTGAGCCAACGCGTAAGGCAGACTGGCATGATGGAGCAATTTTTGGTTGGCTTGCGCATCTGAGGATCTTCCTCCGGACCAAGTGGTAAGGCCAAGCAAGTCCAAGGATGCTGCCACTTGTCATTACAGCTGTGGCATGCGACAAAAAGTATCGCTCACACATTCGCTGCAAGCTATGTATAAGTATAAGGCAGGCATACCCGCAGTGGAGAGAAGCCAAACTGCTTCGTGCTTTGGGGCTCCCTCTGAAAGGAAAGGATTCGTGGCATGTCCAATAGTAGGCCCGATGACACCTGTTTCCCTTGACATCCCATAAGGGTCTCTCAAAATTGGTTGAAATATGCTTTTCGCCAAAGGCCACTGAAGAGGACGGTCGAAATATGAAACGCAGCAGCAAAGGCTAGAGAAAGACATTGTGTCTTCTATCGGGAAAAAGCAGCGTGCACAGCGAATTGAGCAAGAGCACCTCCATCACCGCTGGTGGCGCCTCCCAGGAAAAGCTGGAAGAAATTCGCCCCTGGCGACGGCCAGTGTCCGTTGCAGAACGAGAGTTTCATGATGCGCCTCGCAGCGTTCCGAACACGATCCGACCCGAAGTGAAGCTGACTGCACCAGGGCTTTGGTTTAATGGCCAGTGTGGGGCCCATCTGGGCCAATTTTTCAGCCAAGGGCTAGGCATGGTTTGGAGGGTATGGTCAGCAAAAAAAGCTTGCTTGGCGTTCGCACGCACGCTTCCAGCCCCCTGCCCTCCTGAGTGATTCAGGATTTTTCCTCCTCCTCCACCGTCATGAGCTTTCGTGACCCCCCCCCCCCCGGCGCAAGTTTCTTTTGCGCTTCTCATGAAGATCTGGAAATTCCCTTCGCTGGCTCGGTACAAATTTACTGGTATTTCACTCTGCATTCAAGTTTGCTTGGACACTTCAAGCACCATCACGTGGGCCAGCGCTTTTTGATGCGAAGCCCTCCGAGGCTTGGGAGCGAGGCACCAAGACATCTCCAGTCAGATGCCAAAGAAACGAGGGGCACCTGTGGGACCATCAGCCCCAGCGACTTCGTTCAAAAGGCAGCCGGTCACCCTGATATTTCTATGTGGACAAGGACAAGTCTTCGATGTGGCGTGGCTGGTTCCATCAGGACCAAGCGCAGAAAATACAGAAAAGGCTGCTAATGCAATCGTACGCAAGGCATTAACATCTCACCGCACACCTGGGCATCCTGAAAAGCGCGTCGCACCCAAAAGTGTGCCATCTCTCAACCCACTGGACGCATTAGCAATACATAGAAAGCCAGCCCGCGCAAACATTCTTTGCCCATCATCACCGCCGGTTTTTCTGTTCGCAGGTCAAGAAATTCTTGTCTGCTCGTAGTCATCCCTCTCTTCGGACAGTGTGCACTTCCCTGATCTCCACAGGACTTTAGTTTCTGAAGGGCAAAGCTCTGGCCTGAAAAATCCTGTGGCTTCCGTTCTTATTGCGTTTGTTGCACAGCGACCTATATGTCGCGTCCCTTGAGTATCCGTTTCAGGAGGAGCATGATCATACTATGAATCCCTCTAGATCTTACTGAAGGATGTTGTAGCTCAGGGCTGGCAGCAGAATTTTGTGCTTTTGGTGCCGGGATGCAGCAAGGGCAGCCTTCATGAAGGTATGTTTTCCGTGTCTTTAGATGAAAACATTACTTGCTGTGCATGTCAGCCAAGTCAACCACTCTCACTTACTTTCCCCGCGGCGATGCTGAGGCCGCGCTTCAGGACAGCATGGCTTTCCATGATCTGTTGACGACCGCAGCTGCCGGTTCTTAAGAATCTGGGCATTGATCATAAAATCGTCAAACAGTTCGCCCAGCAGTATTGTAAAGCGCGTTGATTGCCGGCTGAATCATGTGCGCGTTTTCCCAAATTTCCAGACATTCCAGTCTCGGGCCCCTTCATTGCGGCGGAGCCGAGGTTGAAAGTGGTTAATGACGAAAACTTCTTGAAGTTGGATCTTCAGACGAAGAGCTTGGATGTGTTTGGATGTGCGACCAACAAGCACGATAAGTGTTGCAGCACTTCTCCGCAAGCTCGGCATCAGAATGGGAATTGATCATTGGAGCACATCAAGGGATGCTGCTGGTAGGTGTCAATGGCAAACGGAAATCATATAGCACGAATTATGCCGTAGAGCCTGCGTGTTTTTATTTTCGCCTTCGTAGGCGACCGTTTCACATGCAGGCTCCCCAGGGAGTTCATCATGCGCATTTTGCAATGTTCGTGTGTTCCCCAGGCCGCGTACTGCGAGTTATGACTTTGCCACATGCTACGATTAGCCGGTTCCAGCCTGCAAGCAACAGAGGCGTTCGGGCTGATCAAGTCGTAAAAGCTAGGAAATTGCAAAAGCATCTGGTTAGTCGGGCTGAAGCCCTAATCCTTATCAGACAGCGTCCAGTCTCGACGTACCTTGCAACAAGTGGGTTGCAGAAGAGAAGTATACATTCTTTCAGTACGCACTGACAGAAGGCTGGATGCATTCTGCCCGTGAAGGTGCACGAAGTTCCGCGGCCACTGCAAAAATGCACTGCGCTGCTTCCCCGTTGTAACCGTCAGATCTGTACAGCTGACCATAAAATGCGTGCCATGCACTTCATTCCAACAAGTCAATCTATCGGCCGCTGCGTGAGGATGTTTGCTTCCTTTGCTACGTCTTTTGCGTGCTGTTGTGCGATTGGCTCTTCGTGTGCATGTGCAAGGGTGTTCAATGTAACTGGCAGTGTTTTATTGTTTGCCGCCAAGGAGACCCCTCGCCAAGGGTGGAAAGCAGGATCCCAAAATCTTGGCAGGGTCTCTCCGTCCGCTGGCATTGTCTTGCCTTCAGAGTGACTCGGCCGGGATAGTCGGGGTTTATGTCCTGCTGTGATGCGCTTTCTTTGGATTTGCAGTCCTCCTGTTGTTTCCTTGAAAGAAGCCTTCCACCACAACTGAGGCAACGGATTGACCAACCCGGGCAGGAGTTCCAGGTCTGTTGCGAGGTGATCATGTGATGCGCAGGTACAGTTTGGTTTCACGCCTGCTTTTGACGCTTGATCTTATGCCAGTCCAGGCTCATCACACAACAAACAGCAAGCGAGCGTTGAAGCACGGATTCCGCGTCCCCGTCATGATTGGCACTTCTTGCCAATTGCTCGCCTTCAGTGTCGACAAGAACAGGAAGCGAGCTGGCACGGGAAGGATGCTTAGTTAATCGGATGTTCATTTTGCACAAATGCGAGCCGTCCCAAGTGAGCACCGGGAGGTTGCGAAATTTCAGAGGTCCAGGCCGACAGCCCTGAAGAGTTGGCCGAGCTGGCCGGCTCGGCTGTCAATGAGCCTTTCTGAGAAGATCTAGCTGTCATTATATGATCTGCTCAACGGCCGAGATCAAATACCGAGAAAGAAAGAGTTCTTTCAGAAGCCATGGAGGTTCTGTTTGGTGCCCCCCTTGTGACGACACTTGTTTGAGCATATTCGTTGAATGCTGCTGCTGCTCTGGCTCCTAAAGACGTTGTGCCCCTTGATTCCTGGCTTCCAGGATCCTTGTCAATATTCAGGGCTGCGGGTTGAAACCGGTCTGTCACCGACTTCAGTCCGAGTTGAAAGCACGTTCAGGCTGAGCATATTGGTGCCTCTGCAGGACTTGACTCCAAGGTCGTTGTCTCCCTCCAAAGTCGAGGAAACTGCCAGTGCTGTGGCTTCGCAACTTGAATATGTAATAATTCCGGCTCAGCTACAGAACGCTAGCAGCTAGCATGCAATCATCTTTGCGGCTCTGGTTGAAGCATGTTTGCGCGTGTTGGCCGAGCGATCTGAATTCAAAGAGTCGCTCTGCTGAGAACCTGTCAGGCCGTTTTCCTCTTGCCGCCATGGGAGGCAATTGGGATGTGCACCCTGCGTTGACTCCGGACAAAACATTGCAAGAGCTTTGTGCTGCTGGCATTAGAAATAGGGGTTCAACCGCTTCTTTTGCGCCCTACTGTCGCAAAACTCCAGCTCCAGACACAAGACTTGTGACTACGATCATTACTCTTACGCATTGAAGGCGCTAGCAGCTACATTGCGATGTTGAGCATCGCGGGCTTTCTGGGGCAGGGCGCTCAAGAAGAAAGCTTTTATTGCTTTTTGCTTTCGAGGGCCACCCTCATTGAGCCATGGCAAAGTGGAGAGGGTGGTTGTGTTTAGGTTTGCAAGTGCGGTCCAAGGTGACTCTGTGCTGTCAGGGTTTACCTGACGTTTGTCATGGCTCCACTTTGAACATCTTCTGCTGACAGGGCTGCATGGACGGCCAGTAAAGTCTCCAGACTTTTAGGGCGTGGGCCTCAGCTTGTAGTCTGCCCTGGATTGAGGGCGTGTCGGGGTATCTGTATTTCTGTAGATAGCTGAACCTGCGTCGCTGATCAAAGGATCTCGTCCATTGTGCTGGAGATCACTGTTGGAGTTGCCCTCGGCCCAAGGCGGGACAATGAACAAGACGCACATTTAGCCGCACTAAGCACTGTGACTGTGTGCTTTATGAAAACCACCTCTCTCTCTCTCTCTCCAACACAGGGGCTTCGGCTTGGTCGATCCTGTCTACACAGTGCCAGCCTCAGGGTTGCCTAGCTTGGGAGGTGCATCTCAGAAGAAATGCTCTTTGCGTTACACTGCTATAGCTGCCGAATTCAGTTGCCTGCTTATTCATCTAAGCAATTTTGGCGTTCATATTTTCCACTATCCAGCAGGTTAAGTGAATCCGAAAGCTCCGGTTCATCACGATAACTCTCAGAACTCTGGTGAGCTCGGAAGGAGCCTCACGCTCAGGTGTGTGAGACCAAGCGAGTGGATGACTGCACTGCTCCGGCAGACTTGGATGATCGCATTTCGAACCTTGGCTTTCCTGAACAGTACCTGTGTGCTGTGCATGGGTCAAAGGCAGGCTGATCCAAAAATGTTTGTCTACTGGCCCCAGCAGTACGGGATTTGTCGATGAAACTGCAGACCTCCGAGGAAGGGGCTGTCCTTGGGACCTGCCCTGCCCTTGGAGCTGAGACAGTGAGCTCTTCAGGTTTTTTTCGGTCAAGAGTCTGCAGAGCACGGATCCTGTCTATGCCATTTCAGCATTCGTTCTTTTTATTCTGGTGTGTACTGAAACGTGCATATGAATTATCCTATCCTTACTGCTTCCCGGTTTCTTGCAGGTCCGTACACATTTCCTGGTAGTGGCTTCTGTGTATGGCCCTGAATCAGACACCAACCTGTCTGTCGTTGCCCAGTCCTTGGGAAGAATTGTCGGCATGGGAGTCTGCAATCCCGCAGACTACTGCCGTGCGCTCAGCTGCGGGATCCTGAAATGTGATGAAGGCTGCCTCACCACGGAAATGTTGACACGTCAAACTTAAGCATTCAGAAGGTGAAGACACATGTAGAGAATTCACCGCAGCCAGGGTGAGGCAGCAGCACTACCCTCAGTTTCAGGATGACTAGCTTATGTTTCAGTGGCGAGTTTGGGCAACCGGTGAGAGATGGTCCATGGGGCAGGTCATAGTTCTCACCTCAAATCCATGTTTTCGGTCTGTGCAGGTAGTTCGGGGATGGAGTGACCAAGTGAGGGCTGACAGTGCGCGGTACAAGCATTTGTGCCCAGCTCATGGAGACCATGGTCACAGCAGCCATGTTGCCACCTCAGCAACCAAAGAATCACTCCGTCCATCAGAGGGTATCAATCTCCCTGTGCTTGTGGTAAATTGGATGGACAGGGCAGCGGCCTGTTCAACATGACGGTTGATTACGTTGGCGGTGCACAGCCCATGGAGGCAGTTGTGACTTGTTTTGGGTGGTTCCCGGTTGTCGAATCGGTGAAGCTGTTGCCAGGAAAGTCACGCCGACGACCACAGCGGTGGACACAGCAACGGAGATCACGGCAGCACGGCCAGCGCGGGGCATGACAACCATGCCGACACGCATTCCGAGAGCCATGCCGACACCAGCCATTCTGAGAGTCACTCCAGTGACAGCCACGACAGCCATGACAGCCACGATGGCCACGCCAGTCTGAAGCTCAGCTTGGGTGGCCCCCTACACGCTTGCCAAGCGGTTGAATGTGTAAGTGGTAGGTCGCATGGGCCAGTGATCAGCACCATGTAGTTATGATGCTGGGCTACGGCTCTTGCATCAATCAGAGCAGAATCTGAGGTGATGGACATGCCTCTCAGCACAGGCCTTCTACATATCCAGTGCTGATAGTGCTGTTAGATGATTCGCAGAGCCACCATCACCAAGCCTGCAGGCGCCTGTCCGGTGGCGGGGTTCCCAGCTTTCAGATTTGTTTCAAGAAGGTTCCGATTCCCTGAAGTGTAACCCAGGCCTGCCCAGAGCTGCTAGGACATCCCAGCAATCTCTAGATGACTGAATGCAGACTTGAAGGCCACTACCACAGCTATTCCGAGTGCTTGGTCAAAGAGTGCGAGCATGACCGACGGCTTGCGAATGGTGGACTTTTGTGATTGTAGACGCTGGCATTCGCCTGCTGCTGCCGGGCTTTTCAGGGCAAGACGCTGGGCAGGGAGCTTTCAGACCCAACGCGTACCGTTTGGAAGAGTGCTGGGATCAAGGAAGGCACCACATGCAGATTGCGCAGGAACTAGCGGACTGGATAACATCGTAAACGTCTAGTCTGGCATCATGTGGCTGGGCTGCTTCGCATGTCGCGAGAAATCTTGAGCTACAACATGTCGCACCAGCAAACATGGTGTTCGGAAAGAAATAGGGGTTCGTGTTTTAAAGGCAGCGTGGCTGCCTAGAAGCTGTGTGGGCTTAGAGACGCTCCTTGCGCCTTGGGTGAGGATTGAGGCCATGGGTCGGGGTCGCCTGGCCCGTCTTGTAGGGACTCTGTGATATGCAGAGTAGTGACTGATTTTCGGAGCCTTTCAGGCATCTCAACATTGCACAGGGGAAGAGGAGGGAGGGAGTCTTTTCCAGACGCCAGTCGGCTGAAGGCTGATGTGAACTTTCGTCAGTTTGTCTGCTTTGCCAACAGCAGGATTACGGACTGTCGCCACTGGAATTTATCTTCCCAGAATAGAGACTCCTTTGTAACCTGCATGCAAAGTTGGGTTTGGTTCGACGGGGCAAGTTGTCACGGCCAGCTAGCTGAAGAGCTGTTTGGCTGTTGTTGGCCCCTTCGCAAAAGCAAGCCTTTTTTTGGCAGGCAGTTTGTTTGTGGGTTGATCCACTCCATCACAAGAGTCATTGCTGCACTGGTAGGGACCTTACAAGAGCTTAGTTCTCCTCGATCTTCCCAAATTTTTAACCCGCTCATGTCGTTTCAACCCAAAGCCCGACAGCCTGTTGACATTTGACTTGGTTTTGGTTGATCTTTCCGTGAGTGCAGGAAGTGTCGAACAACTGCGGCAGCTTTCCAGATTTCTTTACGTTGATCGGCCATGCAGGCTGAGAGCGAGCATAGTGAGCCTGTGAATTTCCGCTACTGTACGTGTCATTCCGCAAAATACCTTGTAAACCTCCCAGACATCCGGGGCTGCAGGGTTGCACCAGACCTCGGCCACAGACAGCATGACAAATTTGAGCTTGGAACATGTATCTATGGAGTCGAGAGTAGGAAGGTCCGTTGGAGGTATGTCGGGCATTCATGTTTACGGCGAATCGAACTGAGATTTCTTGCTTCAGCGGCGCCTGTCTCAGCGGCAGACAATGATCTTGAGAGGTGTTGGCCTCATGATCTTTGAGAGCGGAATGCACTTTGACTTCGAGAAAGCCAAGGCGCGGCCACAGCTTTTCTCATGCTGTACTCGCGTTTCGTCCTTCGTTTCGACAAGAGCTCATGGATATCGTAGAAGCGCCTGCCTCATTGTTTGTGTGTAGAAATATTAGGACGTAGGCATTATACAAAAAACCCGGTTGTTTTTCAGACTCGCGATGCCTTGGCCAGATTGTTGGGCTGCCGGCGTGCTGTGTTGCTGTCCTGGGCACAGTGCTTCCACTGGCCGTGCACTGAGCGTCAGGGTGAAGCAGCCGCATCCTCTATGAGCTGTCGATAGATTTCGAGAGATCCCAAGCCATATGTAATCAACAGAGCGTGTGGTTTCGCAATCATGCTGCTGGACTGCGTTGCCCAGCTTGTCTCAGTGAAGCTTTCTAGATTCTGAGACGTTTCCTGTAGAACCGGGCATAGAATTTCCATTTTTGATGATTTTTACAGTCATGAGTGTAAACGTTATCTCAAGTTGAAATTCCGCAGCTGTGAACAACTCTCGCGACAGATCGTTGGCAGCTTGCTGACAGTTATGTTCGGTCGCCCCTTCATGCCTGGCCCCTAGCAACTCCCAGTGCAGTCCTTCTCAAGGGCTATCAGAATGCAATTCCTGAGGCCAGATGGAATCTCTGCAGGGACGGCCCTGGCTCCAACAAGTGCGCTGGGTGAAAACTTGTAAGTGCGGAGCTGCAAGTTGCTGCAAGTTGCTGTGGCGTTTGGCGTTTGCCAGGCGTGGGCATCGCTCTTCGTCTCCTTGGCGAGGCAGGCGTTCTTCAGGAGAACTTCGGCCAGGCCTCCAGCAAAAGCCTGAATCCCTGCAGCAAAACATCATGCGGCTTCCATGCAGGCCATCATCACAGCAGCCTTCGTAGTCCCCAGCTCGGTCCACTGTTATATGGGCTCTCGAGGCTTTTTAGAGCCGGTGTATGCCGGTGTTCTAGGCTCTCTAATACTCGATACTGACACGTCGGTGGTTTCTAGTTGCCGGTTTTTCACGCCTGGCTTTCGCGACTTAATTCAGTTGTAATCAGCTGAATGATCAAGGACGATATTCTGTCACTGGTACTGTTCAATGTCCTGTTCAGCCTGCAACTCAGATTCCATACGTGCATGAGGATCCCGGACTCACAACCGGAGTATAGCTTGCGGCCTGAAGCAAAAGATTTCAGGTCTCCTAGGCAAACTCACTTGCATGGCAGAAGCACCAGTTGCTAAAGTGGGTGCAAGGCCTGGGTGGAGAGTTTGACATGTTCAAGACAGTGGCCGGAGGCTTAGCTTACTTGACTCAGTCAGCAGGACGCAGAGTCTTTGCTGCCCTCAAACAAAAACAACCCAAGTTATCCTGGCCCCCTCTTGGGCTGAGATTGCTCCCATCATTGGCGTGGCCTTCATGCTCTTTGCGATGTACCTGGCAGTGAAGCCCGAGTCTTGGCCGAGGGAGTCAAGCCACTGTTTCTGGTGGCAGCGCCAATTTTGCTGAGATGTGCCGGAAAATAGGCCTTGCCACAAGCGTTGCTCTTTAAATATCCCTGCTCAGTTTCTGGCCGAAGTTCCTGCCAAAATACATTCTGGCCAGGGTGCCCCTTTTCTGAGCCAGCTGGGCATTGTTTAGTCGTTTGTCGACCTGGAGCGTTTGGCAGGTACCGCAGAAGAGTGCAGAAGCGAAGATCTCTGCGCAGGACGAGGCAAGAGATGTTGCAGGAGATGCTACAAGCAGATGCCTTGATCAAGAGCTTGCCAGGCGCTGTTCTTCTTCATGTTCGTGCCGGACTTAGCAAGAGCCACTTGTGGCCAACTGTCTTTCGTGTCGGAGTGTTGTGAGACACGGAGCCAGACCTGTTTGAAACAGTGTTTTACAACTGGCGTTTGTACATTGTTGCAGAGGAGCTGTGGTCCTTTCAATCAAGCCCGCCTCCGCATGATTGTGCTCTTGGCACATTTTTTGCTACACATGCCGTGGTTGTAGTGCTGTTCCTTCCATTGCTGTACCTTCTCAAGATATCAAGCTCCCCCCTCTAGGATGCATGGCATGGTGTCATGCGGGGTGCTTTGGAGAGCGCTCGCATCGCAGCTGGGCTGCAGGCCTTACTGTTCGTATATGCCACGATCACCCACTTCCTTGGAACGCACCTGCGGGGAGTCCCGGAGATCTGCTGCAAGCGGCTGCAGTTTAAAGTGGTCCAGGCGATATTCATTAATTTCTGTCTTGCAGGTGGGGCTGCTTCATTGCCGGCATGTCTTTTGCCTGCCTGAACCCTCCTCATCATGCCCACCATGCCAGAATCTCAGCGTACAGTTCATGCATAGATTCCTCGCGTCTCTTTCAGCTCGTCATGAGGTTTGGGTCAAGCAGACAAAGCGCGTAACCTCCTGGATGATCCGTCATGGCCTCATAGCCAAAGTAGGTCTAGGCTTTGTGGTATTAGCGCTTCTTGGGAATGTTACATTCTCTCTTCCAATTGACATGAGTCCTAGCAAGCTGAACTTGCTAAGGCATCTTCTTCGCGGGCACCGTGGCCTTCACCATCCCGCTGCAGCAGCTGATGTCCATTGATGCCTTCTGGAAAGGCATTGAGTTCTCGTAATTCTCCATCGATGGCCACGAAAAGAGAATTATCGACAATTAAGTGAGGGCTTTGGGCAGTTTTTGCGTTGCGCAGAGGGTTGCGGAAGGCACATGTTGTCATAGTACTAAGCAAGATATCACGAGGCATCAAGCAGATTTTGAGTAACCCAAGCGCAAATGTCAGCGTGTATTTTGAAGCGGTCGTACAATGCCCGAAACGAGCCTCCGCCTAGACATATCGAGTTACCAGGTTGTTCTGGAATGTTCTGGACGATGCAGGCCCCGACCCGACAAAGCTGAAAAGTACATTTTGATAGCCTCCCAAGACGCATAAACCAAGTCCTCGTTCTGATGGGTGAACCCGCGGCCCGACGAGCATCAGTCAAAGAACGCATTTCCCAGGACCTCGCTCTTCTGGCGTTTAGGCTCTGCCAAAGAGAGTGCATTTACTAGTTACTAGGCCCTCACTATTTGAATGATCCTCCATGCACCCGCACATTTGCAGGCACCACCATGCATTGTGAGACCTTCCCAAAGTGCATTTTCCAGGCCCCCGATGCCCCACGTTCTGGACGACCCCACAAACGTGAACAATGCATTTGGAGAGCTTCCCAAAATGCATTTGCCGGCCCCCCACCATTGTGGACGACCCCACAAAACTAAAGCATGCACTCTTAAAGCTTCCCAGCATGCATGCACCAAGCCCCCCCATGTTCTGGACGACCCCCACAACAGAAAAACGCATTTTGAGAACTTCTCGGAACGCATTTACCAGGCCCCCCGCCTTGCCGGATGACCACACATACCTGAAAATTGTGTGTCGAAAACTCCCCAAATTGCATCTACCAAGCCCCCCTGTTCTGAGCAACCCAGAAAGCAGAAAATGCAGTTTCAGAACTTTTTAAACTACATGCACCAGGCCCTTACGACCCACAAACCTGAACTTCCCAAAGTACATTTACGAGGCCCGCCCACTGGACGACCCCACATACCTGAAATAGGCATTTAGACAGCTTCCCAAAAGCAATTTACCAGGCCTTCCAGCGTTCCAGATGACCCTGCAAACCTGAAAAATGCGTTCGAAGCTGCCCGAAAAGCATTTACCAGGCCCCCACTGTTCTGGACGACCCCCAAACCTAAGAGCGGCCCAGCTTACACGAACGCGGAAGTGTACTTGTTCTTTGCACTGTTGGGGCCAATGGTGCCGCATGCCTTTGCCGCAATTATTCCTTTCAAAGTAAATAAGTAAATGAAATCACACTAGACCCGTAATTGCATTTCGAGGTCTTCCCAAATTGGATTTGCTCGTAGAGAGGTCAATATTGAAGATGCATTTTGAGAGCTTCTGAAAAGGTATTTGCAAGGGCCCTTTTCGCTTCTGCCTATGAGTATGCCAGCTCCTCAGGAAAAATATAGTGCTGGTGGATAGCCCCAGCTCTTTGCATTTGGACAGATTCCCGAAGTGTATTTTTGCTGATGCAAGAATCGCCCCGATTTCAAGCAATCATGAGTGTGAAGGATGCAGGCGTATCCTAAAGCAGCGGATGGGTTATTATCATTTTCCAAACGGGTACCTAGGTGCCCAACATGATGTAGGCTTCCTACCAAACACTTCTGGAACATGCCTTTTCCTGAATTCAGATCAAATCGTTACATATTCCCTGGGGCCGGGAAAACCGCGGAAGGTTGGGTGCCAGGCAGCAATTTTTTGGGGACCCACGGAAGCTTAATTTTGCACAGCACCCACATGCTTTTCTGGCTATGAATTTCCAACAAACTCTCTTTGGAGGGATCGTCTCAGCTGTGTTGGAGTTCACGAGCTGCGTCCCAATGCATTCTAGCTTGACCGTCTTGAGATGTCGCAGGCAGCATCATGGGCATCTTTGCTTGCATCGGAACCAAGGCTGCCAGATGAGATTGCGGTTTGAATTGCACGTCTGGGGTGTCTTTCAATGCCGAGTATACTGCATTCTATGGCTTCGGGAAAATGAACACAACGGCCAACTTGGCTCATAGTTCAATGCAGGTTATATGCGCGCCTTTCATGGGCAAAGCGCGCTGGGTGATCGGCTGGGCAATGGTTGGCCGAGCCGAGTTTGCGCAAGGCTCCTAGCTTTGACGCACTGCATCGCACCCAGCAGTGACCTGAAGCACTGATCGAGTCAGATCTGAGCGCGACAACACCAAGGTACTTGATTGCTCAAATGGCGCTTTCTGCCGGGATGTTGGATGCAGGGCAACTTGTCTGAACAATTCAAGCTGAAACTTCGCAAAGATTCCGCGGAGCCTGGGTCCTGAGCTGCTCTTTCCCAACAACTCCAGCAGTTCTGAGGTTTGAGTAGCAGCATCGCATTGGCATGAGCGTGCGTGACCTGTTACTAAGGACCTTCTCCATTGTCATTTGGGCACTTCTGTATGCAGCAGTTGGCATGGCTTAAGGGATTCTGTCGCGAGCTCATGAGGAGCAGACTTCGTCTTGCCTGCCAGGCCACCATCTTTGCCCCGTTCATCTTCAGGCTGCTTCTGAACCGATACGTGGCCTCTGAGGGACTCGGCGAGGCTGGAAGCGGCTGGAAGCTCGAAGCTGGCTCGCATGCTTCTTCTTTGGCTTTATATTCGCAGGGAGCTGCCGGAACTGGGTTCAGCGACTCGTCCGGGCCTCGCTCACTTTCAGGCGAATGGTGGAAGGAATAGGATATCTGGCTTACATGACCTTCCCAAATTTGCTGTATGCACGTTCAGAGCTTGAGGGACTCGGACATCTGGGGCGAGGAGAAGGAGCCAGGATCCCAGCAGCTTATCCAGGCGCTTTCAGAAAAGGATATCTGCCATCGCAGAAAGCTTTGCGAGAAGACACTGGCAAGTTATTGTAGCCAGCTGGTTGATGCTTTCCCAAGGAACAACAAGAAGGAAGAAGATGACCTGGAGGACGGTGGTCTGTTGACTCTGGCCGCATTGGCCTCAAGGGATTAGTGCGTGGGCATAGCAGAAGAGAAGAGCTTGTTCCGGGGTGAAGAACTCTGCGAAGCATGTTCGTTCAAGGCTGTGCCTGCACTACTTTCAGTTACCAAACCCCTTTCTTTCAAGTCACGGGCAATCTTTCAAGTGACTTATCAGGAAAGCTCCTTGGAGGGAGCTTGTTTTAGCACCTCATGAAGTCAGCCCGGGGTATTGGGGGGATGCGGGGCCGAGGGGGGGACGCCAATTTTGTCTGTTTTTTTTCGGCTGCCCTGCGCCACAGGCCGGAATTTCGGGCATTGCTATGGAGTGTTTTTTCGGGCCAGATGCTTGGGGCTTATCTTGGGGTGATGTTGGGTGGATTTGGGGGATCTTAGGGGATCTTGGGTGTTTTGGGGGGATTTTTTTTTCTTGTTAAAGGAGGGTTTGCGTAGGAGGGTTGCAGTTCCTTTAATGGGCAGTGAGGGCTGGGCTGCGTGCTCTTCTGGTTGTATATGGTCTGTCTCTTCACGTCCTGTCTCACTACTCCTGTCCATTATTGAGCTTTCGTCCCAGCCCGTGGCTCTCAAGTCACCTTCAGGGTTCAGTCGTTCTGAGTGGACAAAGGACAGCTACTCTACCCCCCTCCTGCTTAGCGGCGACGACGATCCTTGAGCCAAGAGCTTGAGCAAAATGGCCACGGATCAACAATTGTCTGCAGCGCCTCGTGCTCAAGCGTGCAAATTCGCTCTCCCTGTCTTCTGCAGGATATCGATGTTGCTGGAGCTCTGAAGAACAAGCCCATTGAGCCCCTTAGCCGAGAAAGCCAACTACACGAATGCAGACGAAAGCAAGACGAAGGCGGACTGTGACTGAGTGTTTCGAGTGTTTCTCCTCAGGTACGGACAGTCCAGTCCAGGTGGTGACGCCCGGCTCAGCTGTTTGAGAGCTGTGGTTGGCCTCCCCTTGTTCGCTTCTTGAGCCCGTTTCTAAGGAGATGAAAGTCACAAGCTTAGAAACGGCAACAACTTGTCCTACACTCAAACTCTGCAATTTTGGGTTTGTTGAGGCCGTGGATGCCCGAGCTGTCCGCAACACTGACGATCCCAAAGGTGACCCCAAGGGCAGATCCAGACTTGGCTGTGCAGGGAACTGTTGCCTGGTGTGAGGCAAGGGCGGCTTCCTGTGCTGCTTGTTCTTCAAGAAGGTCAGGGCCGTTTCAGGCCACACGTACATCTCCTTTCAGTCCTTCGCCTTGGCAAGGTGGTCGTCCATTGAAATCCCCGCGGCGGGCTTTCTGAGAGTAGTAGTAGCCAATAAGACATTGGTTCCTCTGCCACCGCATGAAGGAGGTAGCAGGCTCTGAAGATACGAAGGCGTGGACAAGACAGGGTGGTCTCTCAAGAGCAACCCTCCTCGCACGGTGGAACACTTGTTTCACATAGATTTTGAGAGGGCGAGAAGCCGCCACACCAAGCTCTGCAGCAAGCTGCCCAGCGCCTCACATGTAGTGATGATCTCGTTCATCAGTGACCAGACACCAGAGTCACAAGAGTGCCTGTTCCAAGTGTGCCAAGCTGTCCACAGCAATGGCTGCTATAGCTGCGTCCAGTCGCCCTCAAGGCTGTGGAGTGGAAAAATTACCTTTCCCTTCACATGCCTTTTTTTACAAAAGCTGGCCCAGCCACCTGAAGCTTCGACACTTGTTTGTGTGTCTGCGTGGCATCCTAGGATAGTGGAGAATGCATCCACCTTGCAGCAACTGCCTGGACCCGTGTCTGAGGGCATGGTAATGTTGAATGAAACCCCATGTTGCTACTACAAAGAGGCGCGCTAAGTGGAAGACCATTCCAAGATGTGTGTGTGCGGAAAGCAAGTCCACGTGAGAGCACACGATGAAGGAATGTCAGGTCACTTGCGCAGTGCTGCCTTTTTTCAGGTGTTGATTGCGCACCAAGGAGCGTCAACCCTGAACAGCTGTGGCACCCGCACCCAGACTACTGAGTCTACTTCTATGGGCACCCTGTTACAGACATAGACATGAGAGGGTGTTAGAGTATGCTAGAGGGTAAGAGTTAGTATGCTCATGTATGCTCGGCGACTCCAAGGAACTCACTCCTGCAAGAGCAGGAGTTTCCAGGTGCGTCATGGCCAACGTTGCCAGAGATCTTCTCACGGTGGCTCCCGTAAGCCTTGCAATCCACATTAAAGGGGGTTTACTTGTACCACACGTGCCAGCTTACAGAACAGGTAGAGGAACACACTGAGACAATCGCTACAGAAGGAGTTGACGCCTGCACACAAAAATCCCAAACCCAGCGGCTCCTCATGTTGCAGAGAAAGTTGGGGCCAGAAACTTCCAAAACGAAGAGCCGAGCTGCACATTCCTAAAACGGTCACCCAAACCCAGCCGCTCCTCGTGTTGGAAAAGTCGGGGCCAGAAACTTCCGAAATGAGCAGCCCGACTGCGGCTTGCATTTCGGACAGCTCACAGACTGAAACCTCCAAAAATGAGAAGCTGCAGCTGCGCGCTCACAAAACGGTCACCCAAATCCAGCGGCTCCTCATGTCGAGAAACTCGCCTACAAAATGAGCCCGGGGCTGGCTCGGGCTAATCTGCTGGGCGTGGCTAGGCGAGGGGCCGCTCACCGGCTAAGGGGGCCATGATAGGTGCTTCAAGTATGTGCCTAAAGGAAAGCTTACTTGCAATTACCTGTGGGTTGTAAACAGCTCCGACAGCCAGTAGATGGGGTCCATGTAAATTGTCTATATTAGGTAAGGGGCCCGTGCGCGTAGGCTAGCATACTCCCGCCACTTCATGTGGATCTGTGCGGATCGTTTAGCTTGCCTAGTGTGCAGTGCAAATTGACGGGGGCGGGGAGAGGCAAGCAAAACATGAAATGATGCGAGCGACGTGTTGTTTACTCAAGCGCCTTTATGAGGCCTCAAAGAAGTAAGATGCCCCAAAGAAGTAAGATTAGAGTGGCCTCAGCCTTCAGCAGCCAATTTGAACCACTGAAGCCACAGATTTTTCTTTGGCAAGCTTGAGTGAAGATCTGTACTTCTTGTAGTCATTCTTAGCTGTTTTCCATTACCCCTTTGCATACATATGTTTGTGGCATTTTCCAGACCCGAAACCTCACAAAAAACCATGTGTGCGTTCCACAGTACAAGATCCTGGTCGGGTTGGGCAAACGCCCCTGTCGTGGTACGCTGGACTTCTGTCGTGGTACGGAAATACTTTTCTTGTTGTGGTTGCCTCGCCCCCGCAGGTTATGCACATTCTCCATAGATTATCCACATTTTCCTTTTTGTTTTGAAGGCTAGGAAGCTGCCTAGATCGAGACAGTGCGAAAGCTCCCACATCAGGTGATGCTGGGGGACCAGGTAGCCGGCTTTTGGGGGAATGTGCGTTTCATAGCTGTATGCTGGCATGTTTTTTGCTGATTCAATGTATTCAGCATCCATCAGCCTTCCTTTCCATATCATCCTTACAAGTTTGATGCGCACGTGTGGTCCGGAACGATGCTCTGTAATTGTGTCAGTCTAAGGGCAGATTCATTCATACTCGTAGTATCCGCGTCCCTCTTTGCAATGGCTTTCTCCTCCTGGTTCCCCAGCAGTTTCGCCCCTTGCAGTGTCCGTCCGCGCTGTCGTGACGATGGGCTGCGGCCTGCGAGGGCTGTGGAATGGTCGACCCTGTAACAGGGCAGCTTGATCTGGAACTGGAGGTGACGGTTTCCAGGCATCATGATTTTGCAAATAGCAATGCAGAATGATCGTTGAAGTTAACCCTGGGTGGGCAGAAGCGCAGAGGTCGGACAGGCCAATTAGACTTTCGTGACGAATCTTTGACTCCAGCAGGGATTGCCTGAGATCTTTAAAACGTCCACAGTTGCACAAGCAATCCCTACTGCTCTGTTGTCGAGCCCCTTCTGCCATGCCTAAAAGGCTGACCGAAGTCTGGGCAAACAAGTGGACTCCAGCGAGTACTCGCGCAATACAGGATTGGTATCCTTTGTAGGCTTTAGGTTCCTTGCTCTCTATGTACCCATCTTGAGATTCAGACGTGCCAAGTGATGTCGGGCCTGCTCGGCGCATTGTGTTCAGAGGTTGTGCTGGTGATGCACCCGAAAATCAAGTCAATCAACCAGCTTTTCTCGGCAGATGTACAAAGTGAGATAGTGAGCAGCAGAGAGGCATTGTGTTGGGAGGAGAGTGATAGCAGACAGCAGACCTGAAAACCCAACTCTGCAGCCTACCCATCAATACCGTCAGGACCCGGCGAAGGCACCCAACCATGTCAGCAGCCCATATTTATTGAAAACGACATTTCGTCTGACTGTGCAAGCATGGCGGCTCGACGTGCGCTGGTGGCGATAAGGCAACTGGACATCCAAAGAACTTTATTCTCGAGCTTTTTCTTGTCGATTCTTTCTTGGGAAACTCTTTGTGAGGCACCTTGGCCCGGCTCTCCGGGCCCAAGCTGCGGGCTCAGGAACTTCGAGCAATGGCAAGTTCGTGCCCTGTGAAGTGTTCGTGCCACAGAATCTTTGCGATGGTGCTGATGCTTGAAAACGCAGATCAGTTCTGCATGATACGACTGTGCAGCGCTCATAGCGCTCGCTTGAGGCTTTCCCCGCAGGGCAACGAGCTTTGTCTGGGCTCACACAGCTTGAGGCGCAATTGGAGTTTAGCGCTGAGTTTGCAGAATTTATGAAATCCCTCTCAGAAGAAGAAGAATAAGAACGACAACTACCTGGACATGCATTCGCTGGTGACCCGCCTGCGCCAGTGGCTTATTTTCTACTTCCTCTTGTGAGCAGAAGTCTTACTGCTGTGTTTGTCAGGTGAGCTCTTTCCGACGGCGCCACCTATGGGGGCCCCGATCAACGGCGATGTTGTGGCAGCAGTAACGGAGGCCACCTCGGTGAAAACTCGATATAACTAATTTGGTCAGGCCAAGACAACCACAGTTGAAATTTCAAGGGTAGACCAAAGCAGGGAATCTTATGACCCAGATTTGCCTTGTTGTC